CGGACATACTGGCGCCGCCAGTAGGGGGCGCTAGAGAGCCATTACTTAACACAGAAAGATGCATTCTTTTTTAGATGGCTATATTCACCAGGCCTGACAAGTCCCCAAAATTTGGTGAGTTTTCATGAATGGCAAGTCCTCCAACCATGCGTACGTTTCCCCAAACGGGTACAATATCAATAGGGCCTTCGCGGCCCGACGTTGTCGGTTGCTCGGGCCCTAATAATCTCAACTGTAATGAAGTTTCTCTCGATTCGGTCCAATCTATTGACATCACTTGTGCCCACAGGTGCACAAACCTCCCCGGAGTTGCATGATGGAGCCTCTATTGTGACATGTGGCGTCCTAAAGGACAATTAGCTTTAGGTTTTATTCCGCCATACAATTATTTAAAAAAAATAGTTCTATACAATTGGCTTACAGTTCATCACCACTCCAAAAAAAAAAGCCTGCTGGGACTCGTATAGAAAGCAATTCCACAAGTCGGCATAAAATAACTCATGTTTGGTGTATTGGAACGAGGCCGAGCGGAGGAGTAAACAGTAACGCTTAGTTCATAGTTTAATTGTGGATGTTGTGGGTCATGTTTTACTTGTTGCCAGAAGTTAAACGGGGTTTGGCGCTCCACAACTGTCCGCGTGCGTCGCCGCTCGACAGACAAGCGAACAGACCCGCATAACGTGGTGTTTACTCAGCAGCTCTTTAGCCCGGCTCTGCGGACACAGAGTGAGGTGTTCTGCACCAGTCAAGCTGAACGGAGGCGAGAGTGTGTTACAGAAAAAAAGGAGTTCACGCTGCTCGTTAGTGTGGTTTACTTTTCTAAAAAGATGTTATAGATTTGAAGGCTGTTTCAGAAAGAGCTTCGGTTAGTGGACATGTTGCTCGTTAAAGTTATGATTCAAAGAGGTTCAACTAGCTTACCTGGAGGCAGAGGCTGGCAGTGTGGATGTCGCTTCAAAGTTCTCACTTATTAATAAGTTTCGGGGAGGGGGGGGGGGGGGGGTAAAGCAGGTCCCAACTCTTCACGGCAATTTCAATGTGTATTTCTTCTACTCTATCGGACTTTTTGGTCGCTATCTACGGGCTGTTTCTCCGTGTCAGAGTCAGGTGCGCTAAACCCCACCTCTCTTTGCCTGCCCCTCTCTCTCTCTCTCTCTCTCTCTGTTTCAACAGAACTCCACCTCAGTACATAATGCTGGCTCTACCAGTCTGACTAGAACAGTCCCACTAGACAGCTTTATGGCACAGGACACGAGTCTCACTGTAGCGAGTCAGGACAGCTCCAGCCCCCCTGCCCTCACTGCAGTGGACAGCAGCACCTCAACACACACACACACACACACACACACACACACACACACACACACACATAAAAGAAACAATCTGAATGTCACAGACCCAATGTCTATCTGTCATTTCTACACAAAGACACACACACACACTCAACAACTTGCACTGCTGGAGGCAATATTCCTGAGGTCTGCAAGATAAGATGCAGGAAGCCAACTCTTTCATCCAGTGTTGCTGTTAAAAAGTTCAAATTACATTTCAACATGGTTATTAATAGGTATTAATTGGCACACATTATTAATCCATTCCCACTCGCTCAATTAAAAAAAACGAAGAGCAAGGAATCGGAAGCAAGCGAGCTCGTGCCTTACATACAAACCTTCTTACCACTGTCACATGGCAGTAAGGTAATCGAGCTTGTAGTTGTGTATCTAGCCATGGTAGGCAATCGTTTAATAGCCTGCAGCCGTTTAGAGTACTGACGTCTCCTTAGGGTATTCCGGGTCTTGCCCTCCTTAGCAAATCACTTTGTACATTTTTTTACCACATTTATCGCCAGACAGGGGACGTTTTAATCATTCATGGCAGTGATGACATGTATCGACGCTGAATGACTATTATTGTGTTTATTGGAATTGATTTATTGTTATAAATAAGCCGCATTTATGTTTCGCTTTTCTTGCCTTAGCCACGTAGTAGCCAGCATGGTGCCACCTCCTTACAGCCATCTGGGGTTCATATATCTTAACAAGGGCACGTTGACATGTAGCTTGCAGCTTCTGATTAGTGGACGACCGCTCTACCTCCTGAGCTACGTCAAATTGTGCTCGATATTTTTGGTGCATGTGGCCTCCACATTTGAAATGGTGTGGAACCGCCACGACAGGATATGAAAGTCATCAATTCAAGACAACAAGTCGATGCAAAGTTTTTCCGCCTAAAGAAGGTCTGTGTGCACAGCGACAACACGAGACAGATCACAAGCAAAGAAGTGGTATACAAACTGGTTCAGAACCAGCTACTGTCTTACCTTCAGCAGCGTTTTGTACTAGTTCAAGTAAGTAAGGCAAGTTTATATTATTTCAGCAACAAGGCAATTCAAATTGCTTTACATCAAAAGACAAAGTAAAAGAAACACATCATGGATGGACATACAAATATGTCAGTCAATTGAATACATTTTTCATTTGTGTGCACGGAGATAGAGCTCTCATAGAAAACACAGGAACGATCAGACACGACAGTCTTCAATATGTTCAGGCACTTGGAGATAACTTAGTCCAGAGTTTGCCCCTTATAGTGTGTGGGCTCCATCACATGCTGACTCAGTACAAAGTTCTTTAGTGCGTCTGTCCTGGGGGTTGTCAACATGGATGTTAAAATCACCAACAATAACTGCACAGTCAAAGCCAATACAGAATATAGACAGTGCAGTGCTTGGCAGTGTCCTTTTTGTGTGACTTGGTGGAGTCGCGTCAGTCACATACTGGACTCTCAGCCCTAATACACATTCGCCAAATGACCACAGAGATATTTGACTCAAAGCCAGCTGATGACCTGGTGCTGGATCAGCAGAGACTCAACAAGGGACTGGGAGGGGCATCTTCTCCATATCCCATTCAGGAAGCTGAAGCAGAGGACATGTAGTGAGGGAGACACCGACAGGGATTACGTTTATTAAGACCCCATGGTGAGTACCAAACTCCATCTCCTGGTAGTCCCCCGAGTACCTAACGTGAAAATTATGTGCACCCCTGTATATATACATATATTGTATTCATACATGTACCTCTAAACCATCGTAACAGTAATATCTCAACCATTATTATTAATAAACAGCAGACTAATGATTCATCTAAAGGGCACACAAACTTTCCAGAATGCTCCACAAGTCAGGATCAAATCAAAAGACGGGGAAATGAAAGCTAACATGTAAAGGCCTACAGTATATATCATCTTAATACTAAGTTTATAAATGTACATTTCATTGACATCATACAGAAGGTCGTATTGCAAACGCAAAATTGGAATCATTGAAATTGGCAAAAAAAAATTAAACCAACAAGCTTTTACTACGAGATGACCTTCCTCGTCTTATATGTCATGTCCACCTTATCGTTTCACTCGCTGCTGAAACCGCCCGTACGCTGGTCTGAAGGCTGCGGGAGGCGCTCACATTCTCACTGCACCTTCCTCCTTCAGAAATACCAGATTATGTGAAGGAAGTTCTTCGGCCGACTGTCTTCACCACCACCAGTGTCTAGACTCTGGGGGGAATACTCCTGAACCATGACATCTATACCCACTGAATAGAACATGTCACAATGGGGTCTAAGTGCCTAAAACACTTCATTGTGACCCATGTAATACATTTATTGTTCACTCTAAATGAAGTCTCCCCTGATTGAAATGGCGCATGCATGATTTTTGTGCGTATGCATGGTTCATACATCTGGTCCCTGGCATTGTCCTCCAGAACAGACAGCACTGACTCCCCTTTTCCCAGAGCTCCCTCTACACGTGTCAGTGGCCATTTTCATGTCTCTGTAATGCAGCCAAATAGGAAATAAGCTGACTGGATCCCGAGGCATAACTGTGAGCTTTTCCTATATGCTTGCATCCTCTGAATGAGTCATGTTTTATTTATGTATTCTTAACAATTACTAATTTGAGGGGAGCTCATAAGCTCAATATAGTAATTTGAGGGAACAAAAATAAGCAACTTGTTGGTACAAAACTGCTGCATTCATGAATAAAAGTCAAAGACATCAGCTTAACACTGTCTAACCCTCCCCCCTTTAATCCTGAAGGTTAGAGGTCCACATCACAAGTTAGCAGAGAGCTCCTCTAAAAATGTTTTTACCCTACAATGTATACATCGATGGAATCAGTTTATTAATCCATGTGCTCAATGTAGCGATCCATTCACAGGGATTGGAATATTGTTTTGACCATAACCCCCAGGGGGCTACATACACATGAAACTGCTGTAAAAAAAACAACACATTTTTCTGGAGGTCACGAAATGATTGACAATTGAATCCATATGAAATATATTTCAAAAAACTTGCATAAAAACACATCAAACTGAACGTAAACGTTCTATGTATTTTCTTTTTATGTCTGTGTCATAGTTAAATGAAAAACATTTGTCAAAGGATAATTATTTCGCTTTTCTCTTTACAAACATGGAACATCCATTCCACATACAAATCAAATCACAACGGAAAAACAAAGTGAAGAGGTGCGTTGTCCAGCATAGACCTGCCAATACTAAAGGGAAAGCACTGCCATTAGTTTCCCTGAGGAAGAGCAGGGGGGCTTTTTCTAATACAGTGTAGTGGGGAAACAGTCTTATAGAGACAGATTATTTTTTTTACCAGTAATGTGTGTGTGTGTGTGTTGAGCAGCAGAAGTCAGCCGGCTCAGCCAGTGAAGAGCTTTAGTGCTCATGCTCTACGGGCCGCAAGACCTGTAAGCCCTAAGGAAGCCAGAAAACCTCTTTGGTGGATGCACCCAGTGAACATCTTTTATTTGAACCAATGGGAGACGGTATTCATTTTTCTCCAACTTTATTTACCCAGGGAAGTTTCTGATGTTAAATCTTCATTTGTGAAGAGAAAGTCAACAGAGGACAGCAACACCCTGCTCCACATTCATTTTGTTCAACACTGGGAGCTTAATGCATACTGGCACAGCTTTAATCTCACCTGTTCCCTCATGCGGTCCTGGTGTCCCAAGATAATGGCAGCATGGTGAGGATACTTCTGCCTCAGGTGGTCCAGGAACACCTCCTTCTTCCTCTCCACAGAGTGCTGCATCATCCGGCTATCCGGCTGGCCGTCCCTGCTGCCGGCACGAGCAGCAGTGACGTAGCTCCGAGGTAAGGTGCTGGGAGAGCGTGGAGCCGAACCACAGGCGAAGTCTGGGTGACAGAGAAGGCTGCTGTGTGTGTGCAGGTTCTTCTGCAGCGTCTGCTCACTGCTGCTGTCCACATCAGTAGAAGAACAAGAAGAAGAGACTCTGGACAGGGAGTTTCCTGGATCTGGAGGGTGATAGGATACAAAAGAGTACAGAGAAAAAGGAATTGATGAAAGAAAAGAAAGTGTAGGACAGGACAAGAAAAGATGGGACAGAAAAAAACATGACAGGATGAAATGTATAGCTACATATCAAAATGTGCACAGATGTCACTGTTACAGTGTGTCATCCTTTATCACTCTCATTTGACAAAAACTCGATATGTTGAAATATTGAAGATATGTATACATTTTGCCGTGTCTTTTAAGCTCACTCAGTTTCACTGAAAGTCCAACTGTATGTTAACTCTGGAGAGATCTAATCATGTGACGTAAACCCATGTGTGAATAAGAAGATGACAATTGTGGAAACCTCTGTAAAACTTTCCCAATAAAATAGTTTTCCTTAAAAGTGAATTTTCTTCCACGCTTACATTTAAGCAATCGCGACAAACCAAACACCAAGCTATCTACCACTTATATTTAATCTAATGATTTTGATTTTACATAGTAATTGTCAGCATTTATCTATTGTGGTAAATGGTAATTGGAAATGCATTTATATAGCGCCGTTCTAGTCTTCTGACCACTCAAAGCGCTTTACACTCCATGTCAACATTCAACCATTCACACACACCTTCATACATTGATGGCAGAGGCTGAAGATGCTAACCTGCCCATCAGGATCTAATCTAAATGCTCATTCACACGCACTCGTACACCGATCGCACAGCCATCGGAGCAATTTGGGGTTCAGTATCTGCCCAAGGACACTTCAACATACGGACTAAAGGTGCTGGGAAATCTTGGGATTAGTAGACAATGCGCTCTATCCCCTGAGCCACATCTTTCCAGGTCGCTAGGGCAGCATGCTTAGCAGGGTATTCGAGATGTCCTTCCCCCCAGCAATGTTTTCAGGCTGTTCCTGGGGGACCTAAAGGCGTTACCAGGCCAGACGAGAAATGCAATCCGTCAAGCGTTATCTGGGTCTACACCACAACCTCTTACCAGTTGGACGTGCTTGGAAAACTTCCAAAGGGATTGCGTCCAAGAGGCTTCTGGATCAAATGCCGAGAGACACCTCAGCTGGCAGATGGCACCTTGCATGGTAGCTCCTGTATAAATGTTTGTGAATGGATAAATGACTTGTAGTGTAAAAAGCGCTTTGAGTGGTCGGAAGACTACCATAGCGCTTTACAAGTCCATTAACCATTCCATTTCACTGTCTGCCTGATCTGAACCCAAGTGGTACTTTGTTATTGGAATTCTTTACTAGCCATTGATGACACCATATTTGTGTATAAAGCGGTTTATAAGTGTACAACAACACCCTAGGCCAAAGATTGATGATTGATTTTGTGGTTGTATAATCAGATTTAAGGCCGCATGTATTGGCGCAGAGCTGTCAACTGATCACCACCTTGTGGTGGGTTGAATCAGATGATGGGAAAGGCTGCCAGACAGACCTGGTAGTGAGGTTAATCTGGGTAGGTATGACTGAGGCCCCTATCCAAGAGGTCTTCAACTCCCACCTTTGTAAGAATTTTTTGTGCATCCCGGAGAAGGTTGGGGACATGTCATCGGTGTGGGCCATGTTCAAAGCCCTTGAACTCCTGAACCCAACCAACTCATCCTCCACGGAGGAGGCAGAGTTTGAAGACACTTGGGGGAAGACCTATACCACCCATACCCCAGTAGAGGTTACTGAAGTAGTAAAAAGGCTCCTCGATAGCGAGGCGCCTATGGATGAGATTCGCCCTGAGGCACTGAAAGCTCTGTACATTGTTGGGCTGTTTTGGCCGTTTCGTCTAAGGTGCGGGAAAGGAGTCTCCGACCGATTGTGGGATCCAGGGGGTAATGTGGATTCTGTCCTGGCTGTGGAACTGTGCACCAGCTCTTTACTCTTGCAGGGCTGTTTTTGGATTGAGCGAGTTTGCCCAGTCTACATGTGTTTTGTGGACATGGAGAAGACTTACGACCATGTCCCCCGGGGAGTACTGTGGGGGGTACTGCGGGAAAATGGGGTACTGGGGTCCTTGTAGAACCAAAGTGAGAGCTGGGACCATATGCTTGGCACAAAGTCAAACACATTTCCACTGGATGCTGACCTCCAGGGCAGTCCCTTGTCATCAATTCTGTTCGGGACTTCAGCGTAATATTCTGGTTTTAGCCTGTTGTTTGTAAGGATCAGTTGCTGTGTGGTGTCCATGTTGTTAATGTGCATCAGTGTGTGGATAAGTGCTGTAATAATGGAGGAACAATATGCAGCCCTGCAGATTATGAGAATAACAGATTCAAGGAAGCTAAAAATAAGATACAGCACAGCATTCATTCAACTTCAGATAACACACACGCAGCTGGAGATGGATTGTCACTGAAATATTGTGTGAGCAGGGAAGTGGAAGAGTTTATGTAGGCTAAGCATCTGAAGCCTGAATAATACTGTTCTCGTGAGATGTCGATATTTGATCACACCCAGGGTGAGAAATGATACAGGACATAGATTGACAGAATTATCCGACAAGTTTCAAATAGAATTTGCCAGCACATGCATTCACCTGACAAAGTTAACAGCTGCTAGAAGTCAGTCACTTCACTGTTAATACAGACTATTACTGACACTAACACGTGTTTCTGTTCCACAGTGTATTTTCTAATTAAGTAGGCTATAAAGCTCAATAGAGGAACTGTTGTTAAAAATAATCTGATGTTTTTTTGAGGTATCAGCACTAGTCCATTTTAACCCCACACACAAGCAAACACACAGACAACATTCATGCCTGATGGCACTGAAGAGCCTAAGATGGACAAACTAATGAGCTCAGTCTAAATGCCACCGATCCAGCCCTAACTACAGGTCACTGCTGTGTCACTGGTGCTGTTTACAAAGCTATATGGCATTTTACATGGTCAGACCTGCAGGCTCCAACACGCACACATTAGTAAGAAATGAATTCACAGCAGAGGTGACACATCGATGTTATCAATTCAAACTCAGACTGGATGCCAACTGCTCCTATTTGGAGGTAAGCAAAGGAGAATAATTGTCCTCTTGCTCCATGGCTGTTCTATTTTGGGTTTACATTATTAATATTGTTAGTTAATGAGCTTCCTCATCTCCTTTCAGCAACAGCTAAAGGAAGCTATGGACTAAAATACCACTGAAACTAGTCAGTCAGTTCAATTGAAAAAAAATGTTTGCAAGAGGTTACACAATAACACTTATGTGAGAAATATACCAGAGAAAATATAGATTGACATCCCTGTGCTTTTTAATTGTTTTGTACTTCTTATTTAATGATTCAGTACGAGAGAAGGAAGGATATTTGTACTATTTGATCTCCCTGCTGGCGTTCATGCCTGGGTAAACTGGGGTGAATGTGAATTCAAATGTTGTTTTTGGAAATGATCACATGTTCTTTGAAAAGAATAGCTGCATATGAAGCAACATAATCTATTTTTTTTCAAGTACAGATTCAGTTACATGCTGCTGGGGATTGGTTAGTACATTTCTAACAGAAAGTCTGTCTTATGCTATCCAGTTGAATTATGAGGTTGTAGGATTCAGTGTTCTGGAGCTTTTTCAAAAGTGTCTTTTTTTTATATTATAACAAATTTCCAGTAGAGCAAAGATAGATACACAGTATATGGGCTCTCCTCTCACACACACACACACACACACACACACACACACACACACACACACACACACATATGTATATCTTTGGGACATTTGGAGTTGTCCTGGGGCTTTGCTGTCTGTAATGAAGACATGGTCACTCATGGATGGACAATGGCTTTTTAAATATATCTGGAAGGTTTTTTTTTTTACTGTGTGGTAGTGACAAAACACCAATAAAAAGTTTTATTACATATTCATGTGTTTAAAGTGTAATTTAAATATGGTAAAGAATGTGGTTATCCCACTAGGAACTCAACAGAACATGTCACAGAATGACAGTTGACACATATTCTCATCTCCCTCCCTTCTTGAGCTTCTGTAATGTGACGTGACATGAGTTGATCAAAACACTGTATACACTTTGAGTTTAAATCAATATAAAATGCTCTTGTCCACCAAGGAGAATGTTGGCTAAGTGACAATTTTTAAGTTCCTGTTTCAGAAAAACATGTCTTGGAACATCCAGTAGCAGTGACGTGTGGTGAGGTTCGTGGCTGGTGAGGCACTGACTCTTTCAGAGTCAGATTTACAAATATATGAACCCAATAGAGTAGCTTAAATCACCATTCAATTGGCAGCTTGCACATTGACTACTGGTTGTTTTTCATATTCCATATACAGTATTTCAGAAACCCGACCCGTGGACTCTGGCACGCCCCCTTCACTTCATTGAGGTACTGTTTGCCTCCCTTCTGTGCTTTTTCACTGCGTTTTAATGTCAGATCAGCAAGACTAAATACTAAATAGGTTCTACACATACGTGAAATACATGACCTATTCTATGGGAAATGAGAAAGCAAAAGACATGCGCTCAACTCAGTTGGTGAGGGATTGCACAATCTGAGATGAGGCACAGCTCGTCGCTGCCTCACCTCGCGTGTCTTCCTCTATTTGAACAGGACGTGTGCAAATTCAGCGATTTTGTTTTTAACAATACTTGATTGGAATCATACAGAAATTACATTTATAGCACAGATCAGTATAGAGAAATATTTATATGTTGTATTTTATCATTATTTGTTTTTTACTTTTCATGATGACAGGTGATGGCTCTGCCTCACCTGCCTCCCCTGACTGCACGTCCCTGTCCAGTAGTCATACCCAACAAGGACCTATTCCACCTGTTATTAGATCAGTATCAACAGCCATGTACACACCCTGGATGTCAGAGTAGGATTGTACCATAGTATTTATCACCTGCCCTTTCAATGAATGCTACACACACCTTCAGGAGCATCATCACAATAGTCTGTTGCTGTGGTCACGTTATAGATTCAGTAAGACCTGCAACTACATTATCCATATTACCACAAAGGATTATGGGGAATAGGTTGAATTTCATGT